GAATGTGGAGAAAGAAAAACAAAAAATAAAAAGTTATTCTTTTCTTTCTCCACATCCCTTTATGCCCATTATTTCATATTATATCCTTATCTTCCAATCTCTCCTGTAGATATGTAGTATATTCACAATTGCATATATTATATTTTATATTATACTAAAACACTTGTTACCATTTATTTACTTCAGTTTAGGATCTTGTTACTTAGCTTATTCTCTTTAAACAACTTATTGTTCTTAATATTTTAATGTACTTACTATTTTATAATGTAAATATTTTATTCAAATTGTTTATCTAAATATAATGTAACTTCCACAACTCTCAATATCTTTTAGTACCTTGTCCGTTATAACCCTGAAGAAGACCTACAAAGTCGGGTCGAAACGTTGGCTTTTAATAAAATAGTTTTGCTACTATTTAGTCTATTTACTCCGGACCATCTCATTCCGTAATAATACAACGGTCAACTATTAAGTATTCAATAATTCATGTACGTTTGAAATATTTCACAACTGATATCAGAGTATTATTTTTAGTTTCTAGAGCAGTAGGCTAAATTAACAAGACGTGTTTGGGTATATAAAGTTTATATAAGTCGAAATTAAGTGCTGTAAAATATAAAATTAAGATGTGATTATAATGATTGATTAACATGTAATGATGATTAATGAACGAATGAGAAAAGACACCAAATATAATAAAAAAGATAGGTACGGTGAGAAGTAGATGTTGATAATAGGAAATCAAAAGTAAAAATGAGAAGAACTTACCTGAAGATGTCAAACGGTTGACTAGCGGAATTGTAGTGGGGATTTCTCCGCCTGGAAGGTGGGTAAAAATTAGACTGAAATTATACGTAGAGTTACTCGTTAATATCATCATCATCATCATCATCATCATCATCATCATGATTGATGATTCATCAATGGCGTTGGTGAAGGCCTGCAGTTTGGACCAGTTGTCATCTTTACTGGTCGCAGCTGCTTTAAGGTACCATTTCGTTGGTACTGCTAACGGCAGCGACCGCCATCCCATACCTCTCCATTAAGCACTCAAGTTTGTAATAATTTTAAATACCAAGTTAGCCTTAAATTTAATAGTTTTTATTTATATCTGAAGAAAAAATATCAGGTGTGTTCACTCACACGACTTTCCTACCTATTTCAGAAAGTTTTTATATCTTTACATAAGTTCATGAAGAAACAAAAAAGAATTGAACTAGATTTATTTTCCTGAAAATTGATCAAAGAAAAGATTTGAGTACGATTTATTTGATAAACTAAAGCAATGAAACCGGCTTAAGGTAGATCAGTGTAAAAATTTCAATACTCACTAATATTGCTGATCAAAAACTTTTTGCCATAGCTTAGTATTGTCAAACAATAATTTCTGTTAAAAGTAGAGGAAATAGTGAAGATTGTGTGATGCGGGCAACAGATTTTCTTACTTTCACTTAGTCATCTTTATTCTCTTATTCACCCCTTTCTGACACCAGGAAATGAACTCGTAATCTTTCATTGGAAATTGAATAGCTATAACTTCGTTAATAGTTGTCCAAAATGAACGATTTTTATATGGCTTTGTAGGGAATTTCATTACCTTTGAAACGATAGGTTAAACGTCGATAATACTGGTTCGATTCCGATGATTTTTATTTTAATGATATAAATACCTATCAAAAGTTTTATAAATTTTACCGTATAATATATACTAATGGAGTTAGGACCCATAACATTTTTCTTTTCTTTATAACTTTTTTTCCTGATTTTTTTCGGGAATTTAGTCTATATACGAAAATTGAAAGGACAATTATTAGAACATTATAGGAAAGTTTCATCAAAATCGTTAGAGCCGTTTTCGCGCTACAGTCTATAGAAAAACATGTTTTTCATTTATTGCGCGCAAGCTACTGAGCATGTAGCAACGAATTTCTGTCATCAGTAGTCAAAACCCTACAAAATAAAAAAAGAAGCAACAAAATCGGTTCATTAGTTCCCGAGAAAATCTTGGCACAGACAGACAGACAGACCAATGGCTAAAAATGTGTTTTTCGGACTCAAGGGGCTGTGAAACGTACAGATCCGTCGAAAACCGCATATCGGAAATTTGACCCGATTGCAATACTTTCCTTACCTAGTATAGATAGGAAAGTAAAAACATAAGCTGGCAGAGTTTTGATCATATTTAATTAATACCTCTTTTTTTTACTTTCCTGCCTATACTAGGTAAGGAAAGTATTGCAATCGGGTCAAATTTCCGATATGCGGTTTTCGACGGATCTATACGTCTCAGAGCCCCCTTAGTTCGAAAAACATATTTTTAGTATTTAGAAAAGAAACCTTTGACAAACAAAACAATTATACAGCCTAATTACAATTATTCATTTCTGTCATTTTATATTTACATACTTCTGGTATTTTAAATTTAATAACAAACTACGGAGTTGAACTTTTGGGCTCCACTTAATCATTGAATTCCTCTCGTATCCAATCTTCATAAACCAAAATTGTACGTAAAATCATCAATGTTTCATTATTTTGTTACAAATAAAATAATCAATAACGAACTGAATGTTCCATATGTTTCTGATTTGGCCCAATCCAGATACCCATCTTTCCTTATTAAACTTCAGAACCATCCTAATCCTCTCGTTTCTAACCTTGCTTCCTTCTTGATCCTTGATAACCCTCCAAGGCGTCTGAAAAGAAGATGGCCTCGTTTTTTTCTTTAGATACTTGAGTGCTGCCAATGGGTAGATTCTCCACAAGTCTTGTCATACCGTGTATTTTTCTGTATCACATTTACTGAATAAATATATGTTTGTTCACAGTTGTAAATTTCATGAAGAATAATAACTAAAAAAAAATAACAAGGTTAGATTATGTCTAGACCATAGGCAACAATGTTAACAATTATCTACATATTATTACCCACTTTCTAAAAAGTGACGGTTTTGTATTAATTTGAATATAAAATATTACATTCATAATAGAAAGAATATGATGAAATATTTTTTTAAGAATTGATGGTATATCTCTGATTTTAAATTTATTACTTGTTTTTAGTATGATCACTTCAGCAATAAATGATACATATTTGTAATGAAATCACGGCAGATATTGTTTTACCATTTTATCATGAAGTAATCAATATTTACTTTTTAATGAATAAGATAAAAAATGTCCATTATTTGATTTATTTAATGTCAGTTCGATACAATATAAGTTACATTCTTGTTACTTCAATCCTTAAAAAATGCTTTGATAAAATTGTAAACAATTTTTCATTTAATTTTGTCTGACTTTATGAAAATAAAAGTAAATGAAATGTAGCAAGATGGCTGTTTTCATCAAAACTCATATCATGGATCCGCCGTACTGCTAACAGCTTCACTGCTTCAGGAGCGGTCAGAATAGAGCAGTATAGATACATCGTACCTAGACTGCCGAGCAGTGACAACGAGATAAGCTCCTTTCTATTCCACTAAAGGAGTGCTCAACTGCTTGCAGTCGGCGCGGTGGACAGTACCAGAGAAATATTAGCTTTAAATACTGCCCACATAATCGCTGGCATTTGAGAACTGCTTTAGGGGAATACAAATGAGCACATTTCTTCTGTACTGTTCGGCAATCTAGGTATGAGGTTCATATCCATATCCTAGATCATATCCAAAGTAACTCTTTCTGACCACTTCAGAAGCTGTGGCAGTCTGCCGTTCCAGAGCCGCTGCTTCCAAAAATGGTGGCTCATTTAATGATTTAATGTATTTTAGGCCAGTAATTTGAGATTAAAGCGGAAAATCTAAGCTTTATTGACTGTCCTAAAGATTGATCGGTATACTGTGTGTCCAGGAACCCAATATGATTGGCAAACAAGCTGTTATATTTTATATGGAAATAAAGTGTTCCTCTCTCTATAAAAGTCCTGTACCGCGGACTGTAACTCTTTGTGAGGTATCAGTTGATTCATTTTGCTTATGTTTGATCTTCACAATAAATATTTGATGACGCCGCATACACTCATATTTTGTTTTGTCTTTTGTTTTTTCTCACAGTTTTACCCTTTTAAATGTTAATAATTAAATCTTTATTTATTTCGTTTTTGTAAAAAACTGAGGGACAATAGTCCCAGAATTGTACATTGTTTTATTATCGAATTTATATACACACCAGACCGGCAATATTACCCAGTCTTAGGGATTAAGACATCAAAATACTACCATAATACTGCCGGAAAGCCAGTCTGGAGCTATCTTTTGTTTGTGTTGGACGTCTATCCCCACCATTTTCACCGACTCCAGGCTCTTCTCGTCTTGTCACATCTTCACCTCACCTGCGCCATTTTGAAGACCCCAGCTGTTTCATCGATTAGGATCGATATGCATATCGATTTTCCCACCATCGACTGGCTTTAACATTAGCTGAAGACCATAGGTAACCTCTTTGGAAGTATAGCCTCCACTTGGGATATTTTTTGTTTCATCTCACACGGCTGCCAAAGACATTTTTAATTTAGTTAATATTTTTTCTTCTCTAAATTAATTTTTTTTTCTTGGATTTATTTACTGGATCAATTTTTTTTAATTTTGAAAGTTTATTTTTATATGTTTTGTTTTGATGGACATTTTTTTTTTATTTCTCATTGAGTATTGTCTTTATGTTTTAAATCTTGAATGTATATATTTCATCTTTTTTATTTCAATTCAATAAATATTGTAAACATTCGGAAGAGGATTTATATTTATTTTCCATTTTTTTGATTTACTGAAATATTCCTAGGTTTTAATATTTTCTTATGGGTGCATTTTTTTTTCTTGTTTTACAGGTCTCATTTTTACTCTTTTTTCCCTTCTTTATCACCCTTTCATTTTGCTCGAATTTTCCCCACCTTTGAGGAAACTCAACGGGGAAAGATTTGTATTTTCAATTTTGAAATACCCCTGACCCCAACAATATTTATGAATAAATTTATAAAGGGATAAGTTTACATTGGTGAAGCACTTCAATAAATGAATATTTGAGTAGATTTTATTTAAAAAATAACAAGTTACAACTAGGCAGCTCGAGGCCGCGGAACGACTTTCAAAATTATCGGATCCAGATTGCGGATGATGACAGAGGCCACAGGATCCACGGATTTGGTAACAGGTTCCAGAATGCAGTTCCTTAGTACTGTTGACAGCAGTGTCTTTATCTCCATCATAGCTAATTTCTGTCCTAGTGAATACACAACAAAACAATACAATTAGCAACATATATTAATCCATTTAATATTATAAAAATGATAATTTTGATATCTTAAATTATTAAAATCCTAAAGATAATAAACCAAATACCATTTATATCAATGGTCAGCTTCACAAATGCAGTAACAATATAGGAGCTGCAGGACGGATTTTGTGCTCGGTTAGTAGATACTTCCTAAACTGAAAAGAAGTAACTAAGCAAACGATCTACAGATCAGTGTTCCTTCTGACGCATTCTGAGTCCTGGATACTCACTTCGAAACACAGAAGACAGATTCAAACTATAGAGATGCGATGCCTGTGAAAGGTGGAGGAAAAGACTAGGCGGGCAGGATTCGCAATGCAATCATCAGAGCCAATCTCCACGGTAAAGCCGAAACCATAATAGAAGAACATAACTTAAAATGGTATGGGCACCTTCTTCGTATGGATCGGAGCAGAGTCCCAAGGAAGATCTATCAGACTCGCGTGGAGGGGAGAAGACCGAGAGGAAGACCCCGAATCTTCTGAGAGGAAGGCGCGCAGGATGCGTTCCAGAAACGAGGTTTAGAAAGGAACAGAAGAGAGATGGGCCAAGCTCTACAAAAGCAACCTCACATTTCTTAATCGGTAAAGAGGAACTAGATTATGATGATTATACATATATAATCTGGCAACCATATATATATATATATGCGGGCTAAGGAGCTTGAAATAGGTAACCAAGTTAAGCAACGCCGAGCGTGGTTAGCACTTGGATGGGTAACCGTTCAACATTGAAAGCCACGCTGCTGACCCTATAGGACCCCCTGTAGGACTGATGACCCTATCCCTTTATATTTAAATCAAGAATAGGAATGTGGTCCAAACGACCACATCTCGCGGTTAAGGACCTGAAAGGTCTGAAGCGCCAACCGAAAAAAAAAAAAAAGATATATATATATATATATATATATATATATATATATATATATATATATATATATATATATATATATATATACATATATATATATATATATATATATATATATATATATATATATACACATATATATATATATATATATATATATATATATATATGTTTGTGTATTCAAACATACAATAAGATTTAGCCTCTCCCTATGGGCAGAAATACTAACTCAACAGTTGGAAATGAGTCAATTCAAAATATTTTCTAACAAATCTATCAGATTTCAATCATTGTTCAAAGTTGGATTAAAATTGACTTATCTTTATCGGAAAACTGATGCACTCTGAAATGAGGCAGTAAAAAAATTCTCCAATCCTATTAATTAAATACTTATTTCCTACACTTAAAAAGAAAATTAGTAAAAAAGATCATGAAGCGATGTTGCAGGCAGGCTCAAAGCAAACAAAATTTCTCTTTTCACTTGATTTCGCCTAACATTTAAAACATTTCTAGGAAGTCGGCACCAATACCAGTGAAATTCATAAAAACTCAGCTAGGTGACAACCAATATTTTTTTTGTAAATGTTTGATAGAAAACCCGATCCCAGCAGACCTACCAAGGAGAGATGCAGCAGCCTGCTTCCGCCTGGCCACTGGTCACGACTATCTACAAAGTCATCTCCACAAGATAGGCCTGGCAGAGGATCCTAGCTGTAAACTATGTGAACAAGCGAAAATGGATGCAGACCTCCTAGACAGATGTCCTGCTATGACGGACATAAGAAAAAGGATATTTGAAATTGAATACATGAAAAACTATAATTTATACTGGCAGCAAGATGTCGTATGGTCGAAAGAAAAACGACTTCAGCATAGGAAAAAAACAAAATATATATATACTACTAGTAGATATATATATATATTATTATATGGTACTAGATAGGATAATGAAGGAATTGCGGAAAAACCTATGATGTGGGTGCAAGTATAGGGACCAAAAACAACCACGTCAAGGTAAGGTGTCTTGCCTACGCAGACGATCTTGCACTTTTAGCGGAAATGGAAGAAGAGGCAATCGACCAAATAAATACACTGACGAAAATAGCCAAAAAAGCGGGTCTCCAAATCTCCTACAAAAAACAAAATTAATGACCACAGACGCAGACTTCAAGATGAAAACAGTGGAAACCAAATTCGGGTCAATAAATGTAACAAATAAATTTAAGTACCTGGGTGAGACTATATGTAATAATGGTTCGGAAAAAGAAAGTATCAAGGCAAGAATAGCCAAATTGGAAAAACTAACTTTTGCAACCAGTAACATATACAACAAGAGAAACCTGTCCACGGACCTGTGATACTATATTGACGGAAACGACATGCCTCCCCAGTCTGGAAATAGCCTAAGATCAAATCAGGAAATATATAAGGACACAAGAGATCTAGAAACGGAAATAAGGATCAGGAGACTGAAATTCCACGGACATATGGTAAGAATGGTCCCAGAAAGACTTAACAAGGAAATATTCCAAAAAATCCGTAGATACAAAATCTTGGGAGGATACATCAGGCAGATGAAGGAAGAAACGGAAAGACTTGGAATAACGGACTGGGACAGAGAGGGGTATAGTAAGAGACTAAAGGAGATCACGGTTCTTGTTAAGAAAAAAAGTTCGAGAAAGGGAGTCGCGTGGACGGAGGAGAGAAAGCGGCGGCACGCGGAGATAATGAGAGAGAAGTGGAAAGAAAGGAAAAACAAGAAAGAAGCCAAATGTCATGATATTCGCGTGGTCTCTATGGCCGTTCCGTGAAAAAAAAAAAAAAAAAAAAAAAAAAATATATATATATATATATATATATATATATATATATATATATATTAATGTGAATATCATGATTAGCCATAATTTATCAATCGCCTTAGATTTGGATCCCCCATATAAAATAGTCACACTATACAGGTTACTATGTGACTATCTCTGGTTTGTGACAGCAATATGGAGTGACAAATAAGAATTTATATAATTAGGTTTATTATTTTTAATAATCAACCATTGCAATCTTCCCAAAAATTTAACCTCGATGGTCCTCCTACCTCGACAGTACTATTCGCCTTTTCCTTCCAAAATCCGAAAAACCTGCGTTGTTATAGACTGCAGCGTCTAAATGAATGAGCTAATTTCAATGAAAGTTGGCTAAAGTCTTCTCCCCAGTGCTCTTTAAATTTCTCTATATATCCTAAGTACCCAGTATCTATAGATTGGAAAAAAGTTATGAGGGGTAGTAAAATTAGATTTCCAAATCACTCAAGAAGTATACACTTTTCTGTTGATGTTGTAGCAAACAAAAATGTTTTTTATAAGTTTACAAAATTTCCTAAAATCAAAAAAAAAGAAAATAGTTGAGACCTGACAATTTGATACCAAGATATGATATTCTAAATATTTTTCTTATATTCTAATATCATTTGTTTTGGTTCTTACATAAACTGAAGCAATGTTATCTATTTTTTTTTTTAGCAAATGATCAATGATGAGAAACAAAATATTTACTCCAATATTAGGAATAAATTTTTATTTATTTTCTTTTTTGTTAAATGGAAAGTAATGTTAATTTTAACGTTAAATTGTTTGGAAATAATAAACCATTCTGAAATAATTTGCAGCGTTTTTTTTTTGTTTTTTTACTCGGTCATATAATTACAAAAATTTTATCAAAAAATGAATGGAAACAATGTTTCTAAAAGGAGAGGACGAGAGAAAAAATAATTACTATGACCCCAGAGAGATAAATATGACCGAAATTTTGAAACGACACACATATAATATTGTATTTATATTCACAGGCGGATCTACGGGGAGGGAGGACTTTGGTGCTGAAGCCCCCCCCCCCCCAAAAAATGGTAAAATGTAACCATGTTTTACAGAAAAAAATATTAAAAACTATCTCTTAAAGTATTCTTGTTCGTGTAATTATATTTAATAGGACTCAAGAACCATTTAAACACCACTTCATATAGGTAATAAATTTCTTTATTTTTTTTTCTAATTAATTATCGTTATATGTATATGAAAAAAAAATCTTTCAGACTGAAGCCCCCAAAATTAAATCCTGGATCCGCTAGTGTTTACATTCGTTGATTCCATCTTAACCAATTCCTAGATCTAATAGATTTCGACAATCACAGTACGTCCCATAATATAAGATAAAAAAAAAAAGCTTTTCACAATAGATTGTTCGATTACAAACTCACCTATACAGTTTCTGGGTCCAGCCGAAAACGGGATGTAAGAAAACGGATGTCTGCTGATTTCTGGATCGAACCTCTCCGGGATGAAAAGTTCTGGGTCATCCCAATGCCTTGTAGATCGGTGGATGTAAAAGGTGAGGATGCCAACTGATTGGCCGGCAGGTACCACAGTGTTGTCATCTGTTTTCAAAATACAAAACGATATTTTAAAATAAAATATTTTTATAACCGTATTAATAATATTATCGCCCCTCCAATGACTCAAGATAAATAATAAATATAATCCATTGTAATTTGTAAAAGATTTATAAGAAAAATTATTTACGCCGAAGCACTGTTACTATATTGTCCAAGTCTATAATGTAAGAGTCCATTCTTCTGTACCCGGCCTCAGTTAAGTAGTTTGGAAATTTAAAAAGCTTAAGCAGAGGGGGCTTGAGGGAGCTGCAACCAGAATTATCAACGGTGAATAGCCTCATAAATGTATAATTTTTATAAATAATTGTGAATAATGTATTGCCGGAAAAATGTTTTTCAGAGTACTTTTTGTAAAGGATATTTACGATTATGTGGAATATATTGTAGACTCTATGTATGATTGGAGTATCCTGATAAGGATTTTCGAGACACTGAGAATGACCATGAAGTGAGCCCATCAGATTTAGATGAGGTTGTCCTGATTGTTGACAATTTCAAGAATAACAAGACTTCCGGTTCAGATGGCATCGCCACTTCTATTTAACATCGCCCTCCAAGTTGAATAGAGCAGAGCTTAGTCAGTTGGGTACCATTTTGAGTAAAATAACTAAAGTGCTTGGATATGCTGATGATGTGGCACTGATTGGACTGTCCCTCAAGGCGATCAAGGAGGCCTGTGAAAGGTTGCAAAGAGAAGCTGGAAGAATGGGGATATCCATAAATGAGGAAAAGACAAAAATTATGGTGCTCAGGAAGAAAACGCCTATAAATCCGCCTAAGCATTATGTAGGGGGACAATATGCGTGTCCAGTTTTAAGTACCTCGGCTCCATCGTTAATGATAAGGTTGACGAAGAAGAAGAAATTCAAAATCGGGTAATGGGGGCTAAAAAAGCATATTTAGCGCTAAGAAGTTTCGTCCGGAGTAAACTACTAAGTAGGGGTACCAAAATGATTATATACAAAACAATCGTCCGACCTGTACTGACCTATGCCAGGGCCACTTGCACCCTACGCAAAAGCCTGGCTGAAAAGATTGACAGTTTTTAAAGAAAAGTGTTGAGGCGCATCATGGGGCCAGTTAGAGAGAATGGTACATGGCGTTTAAGGAAGAACAAAGAGATCTACCACTTATTCCACGACCTCAGAGTTTCTCATTCCGTGCGAATCTAACGCTTAAAATGGCTGGGACATATTATCAGAATGGATGAAGGTAGAGCCGTAAGGAAACTATATTCTGAAACTCCGGATGGAGTCAGACCACGTGGAAGACCTAAGGGAAGGTGGAAGGATTCTGTGGCTGAGGACTTGATGATTGTGGGAGTATCCAACAGACATGCTGCTGACCGAAATGATTGAGAAAGGGCAGTTGAGTATGTTTATTTTACTTTATGTTTTTTCCTCACTCTTTCGTCTCTGAATAAAATAATTTAATTTTATCAGGATGTTTACAAAAAAAAACTGAGAGAGATGCGAGAGTATCGTATTCGTACAAGCCACGCTACACTGGACTTAGACCATACTCCCTAATCACACTAAGTCTAATCTTGTATCTGATCTATTCTGTTGTTCCATTCAAATTCTGTTGCAGCTCAAATTTACGCGATTTTATTCGTAAAGAGTTACCATTAAGAGTTACGACACCATATTTTTTTTATATATTTATCATTTGTAGAAAAATCTGTACCGGAAATCTGTTAAATTCAGGCTAGTCTTATAATGTTACAATTATCACGTTGAATATGGTTATAAATATCTTGACATTTTTACTCTAACCGCTGAAGGATGACAACCGGTCGCAGCCCTATCTGTCCTCCTCGAGCATGTCCTACTTAAGGGCGTTCGATCTAATAAACAAACCTACAAAACATCTTTCTCCATTTATTTTCATTTTATGATCCTCTTTGGAATTTCAAAGTCAAATAATAATTATCAACATCGATATCGGTCATTGGTATCGATATTAGAATAAAAGCAAAACAAAGACATCGATATCAGGATTAAGTTTATGAGATACATAACAAATATGTCGTCGATTCAGAAACTTAGATCAATAAGAACTTTAATGAAATTCCCTTTTGTGGAATCAGAAAATTGTGATCATGATCTAACTTACGTTAGATTATTATTTTAAATCGACGTATAAGGTCAAAATTAACTATAAAACATGTTTTAGAAGAGTGCCCTTTTTACACCGCAAGGTTAAAATACCTCGGAATACACCAGAATATATCAGCATCTCTGGAAAATCAAGAAGAAATCATTTCCAAAGTCATGGAGTTCCTAGACAATGAAAGACTTAAAAAACATAAATGACAAGTTTATAACTAATGATTTATTCACTATTTTTACTATTTAAGTTTATTTATTTATCTACTTAAACATTCGGATTGCCCTCCACTGACACTTTACATGGACAGACGACTGACCTAGAAATCACCCGTGACTACATTAAAAACAAATTGAACCATCGATTGTTACTACTAAGACGAATGCTACACCATAAAAACAAACTATCACTTTCTAACAAAGTTATTATATACAACATGCTACTCAGACCAATATGGACGTATGCCTCTCAAGTGTTGGGTTCACAAAAAAAAAACAAAAAAAAAAACGCTGCAAATTATTTCACAATGGTTTATTATTTCCAAACAATTATACATCTAAAGTAACATTACCTTCCGAGTTACAAAGCAAAAAAAAACAAAAGGTTATTCCAATTATTGGACTAAACTTTTTTTCTTTAATCATTAGAGTAATATGCTAAAAAAAATAGCATTAGTTCAGTAACACATTCAACATTTAAAAACCAAACCAAGGATATAACATTTGGAGTAGATGATATAAAAAAAAACCGGAGACCATATCTTTGCTCCTAAATGTCCGATTTTAACGATTTTTTTTTTTTTTAGGAAATTTCGTAAACTTTTAAAAAACTATATACAATCGGACAATATTCGGAATTTTATTTTACCATCCCTCGTAACTTTTTTTCCAGCTTCTTTTCGTTAAAGTATGTTATATAGATAAATTTAAAGGGCGTCGAGAAAATGACTTTAGCGAAGTTTCATTGAAATCTGTACATTCGTTTAGGAGCTGCAGTCTATAGCAACGCAGGTTTTTCGGCCGCCATTTTGAAAGTAAAAGTCGGAGAATAATGCCGATGAAGGAGGATCATCCTCGGGTGACCTCTGATTTTATATCAAAATTTGAAAAAAATCGGTCCAGTAGTTTCGGAGAAAATGCGCGGACGGCGGACGGTGCACGGCGGATGGAGAAAAGATTTTTATTCGTATTTTAATTCTACGCGTCCTGAAACGTGAAACCTCAAATTTTGAGAGGAGGTTAAGTTTTTGAATTTTTTGGTCGATCACAATGGTTGATTATTGGAAATAATAAACCAAAACACACTTACAGACTATTCAAATTTTCCAATCTAAGTTTCTCCGGTATATCACTCATTGTCCCTTCTACATAACCAATAAATCACTTCATAAAGACCTACAAAAACCACAAGTGATGATGTAATTAAAAAATATTACAAACATATTCATGACTCCTTAGCTGGACATCCTAATCCACTTGTACAAACATTACTAACAGGCACACTACCACAGAGTCCACCAAGGAGACTCAAAACACCTCTGGAGCAGGGATCTACTGCATTAACAAGTCACGTTAGGAGTGCCTTCACTGGGAGGTTTATCCAATCACGCATTCACGCTAATCCCGGAGAGGAGGCTCGCTAACGAACATCACATTTACAAAATATGCCAAAAGGCATTTGTAAAATTGCTCAATAAATAAATGTATTATTATTTATTTATTTTATTTTATTTATTTATTGTTACATTCCGCATCTACCCGATCGGGTCATTAGTAGCTTTAGATATAATCAAATTAGGTGTACAAATTTAATGTCTTTTATAAATTCAAATACTTTTTGTATCTTTTCTTCGTCATCTGAAAGTGCTTCAGATATGTTGGAAGGTATATTATGTTTTGTTCTGGTGTCAGAATATAGTCTGCAAGTTGTTACAATGTGTTTCAGTGTAAGTGATGTGTTGCATGTTTTACAAAATGGTGGTTCCAGGCCTCTCATTAGGTAGCCATGGGTAAAGGCTGCATGTCCAATTCTAAGCCGAGTTAAAATTATTTCTTCTTTTCTGTTCTTTCCGAAAGAGCTCTTTATTTAATTATTGTTTATTTATCTATTCTATCTTATTATCTATAAGTGTCTATTATTATTTTTATTTATTTATTTTATTCTATTTTTTTTTCTTGTACCAACCACCCAAACAGTATAAAAGTAGTAGAATATAGAAAACATTTAGTACTTTTTTTACAATTAAAACAGTACTAAATGTTTGAAATGCTATATTTCTACAACAAATAATCCGATTTCGATGATTTTTATTTTGTAAGAAATCAAGAAAGCTTTCAAATGAATGCTGGTATTATAAATATGTATTTTTTGAGTTATTCGCAAATAAAATACTGAATTCATCATAAAAATGTATTCAGCTTGTTTTCGGGAATGTATGTTACATACAAAAATTATAAAGGTTATCCAAGTTTCATTGAAATCGTTGAAGCCATATTGGTGCTACAGTCTAAAGCGAATCACGTTTTTCGGCCGACATTTCGAAAAGAAAGGCCTCATGATAATGAAACATATCAGAAAATACTTCTAAATATTATTGCGACGTTGTTTCAAAATTTAAAAGTAATCGGTGGAGAACTTTCAGAGATTAGCCGTTTTGAACAAACTACCATTTATATATTTATTTACATACTATTTCATATTTTTATTTATTGATAACACTAAAGCTCGTCAATAGCTATTAAACAAAAAAAGAAAGATAAAAATCGGTCGAATAATAGAATAGAATAGAAGAATCAACTTTATTCTGGGACAAAGCCCCTTGAGAATAACAATATTGTACATAAAAATTAACAATGCATATTACAAAAAAAACAACTAAAAAATAAGTAATAAAAGAAGTATTTACATAACTATAGAGATATATTAAAGACATAATATGAGCAATCAGGTCCTAATACTGCAAAATAGTTGCTATAAACAATAAGCTATGGAATTATAAATGAAATTTGAAATGAGCGACAAAGTGCATTTGTTGTCATGCCAAATGAAATTAATGAAAAAAATAATAATAAAAGATTGTATAAATGTTTACTTTAAATGATTTAGATATGTACCTTAGTATGTTCAAAGAATACAATAATAGTATTGTAAACATTATACAAGTCCTATATGATCTAAATCCTATGATGTTGCTTGATCGGAGAAAATCAAATATAACATACATATAGAGGAGATTATATACATATAAATAATACATGATAAATGGCTACCCAGCGTCTGATTCAATTGTAAGGAGGAATTGGAATAAGAGGATTTTAAATATGGATAAGGATGGTGCATGGCGGATTTTAAGTGGGATGGAATTCCAAAATATAGTCGAGCGGACAATAAAGGAGTGTTGAAATGAGGCCGATTTGTGGAAAGCGGTATAAAGGTCAGAAGGACGAGATCTTGTGGAGAGGGAGTGGATAGATGACTTGAATTGAAGGACGATGATTATAGATTATTTGGTAAAGGAATGTACCTAGGAAATACTGTCTTCGGTACCGCTTTCAGTTATTCTCTTATTACGTTCACTTATTAAATTCTTTACTTTTTCCCGTTTGTGTTTATTTTTCATTATTTTTAGTTTTGGGCCCGTTTGTGTTTATTTTACATTTTTTTTAGTTTGTGGCCCCTTTGTGTTTCTTTTCGTCATATTATGAATCTTCTTAGAATATGGAATTTGCCGCCTTCAGAAGAACAGGCACTTCAAAATTTTTAAAATGTTGGGGTACTTGTCGAGGTGAAATTGTGTGATCGAGGTCATCGAATGAAGTCAACCAGGAAGGCCAAATGGAGATGCTTTCGTAGGACTTATGACACAAAACATTCAATAAGGAAAGGAACATGGTTGGAGGGCTCGAGGATTTCGTTTTTAACAGCTTTAAAATTGATTGTGCCCATGACATGTTATACAGGCCAAGAAAAAAAATTGGAGGACCTGGCAAAGTGGAGTCTTTTTCTAAACGAAAAAATCATGTGGGGAGAGTTTTATCTCAGCAGTGGATGTTTGGTGGAGTTTGCCGAGAAACAGATGAATGTTTTATCTTTTTATAAAACAGATTTTGTTTTATATTTTTTCTTTTCTATGTAAATACGTTTTTTTAAATGTGTTTTTTTATTATTTCATTTTGATGTTTTATATGTACATATCTTCTTAAAGTGTTTTTTTATTATTTCACTAATATATGTGTCGTCAAATAAAAGTTTTTTTTTTTTTGTAATTACATTTGTTTTTGTATCTGTTTACACTTTCAATAATACGAATTTAATACAATAATACGAAGATATGAAGTAAAAGAAGGCTTATCACTGCGTTATGGGAGTTATCAGTGTTCAGGTTATAAACATTGGCAGATAGCAGTCAGTAGGGGCCCCCTAGACGAAAAGTACCATGTCTTCTGAAGGAGGGAAAGAGCCACCCTAACTCGGCGTAGTAGTGGGAAACATGAGAACGTCTCGGGGCTCCATTGACAAATCGTACTGAGCCATTCATTATTCTTTTCAGTCTATCTCCAAGTTCCGATGAGAGGCCACCTTACACTACGCAGCCGTAGAGGAGTAATAGGATAATAGAGGAGCAAAAGGAGCTGAACCGTTTTGTGTTTGCCTATTTTTATAATGATATTTTTGTAGCTGTTCATTATTGATTTTTCTTTATGTAAAAATGTTTGTAATGGAGCCAGTAATTGTGAATATTACAGATTTTTTTCATTCATTCATTCATAGATAGATCCCTTCAAATTCTGATTTTTATTATTATTATTTTTTTTTTTTGCATGTCGCCAATGAGATATTTAGATACAAAGAGTAAATTGGTAACACGGTACGCTGGGAAAAGATGTCCGACATAAACTATTCTAGTATCACAGCGGAAAGGGTCTGTGGCATCTAGCTGTTAATACATAATTAGTACATTTTTAAAACGATCCGATAGAAATAGCAATTGAAATTTTAAATACACATAAATGGCGTTTCTGGAACCCACCACAAGCCTTTTAATTTATATTATTATTATATATATTTTTGAGATAATTACCTATCCTGAGGTCTTGATATAGTTTCCTCGAGTGGAAGGGGACGCTGGGGTAGAGCCTAAGTGTCTCCTTAATGACCATTTCCAAGTAGGTCATCCTCTGCAAGTCCTGCATACTGGCTGGTCTGTCGTCATTACCGAATATGCCATCTTGTTCTTTAAAAGCCTTTTCCTACATTTTTCAATAAGAATAATAAAAAGAAAGTATTTTTTCAAATATGTATATATTTTCTGAAACTAACCTGTACATTCGGATGGTTGGCAAGCAAAAAATGTGAGAAGATGATCGCAGCTGACACAGTATCGTGACCCTAAAGAAAAAAATCAAAGCAAATTAAGAATTAAGTAAATAGAATTGATTTAATATTCTTTGGTTCTAATAATCATTTCTAGAAAGGAAGCAATATTGTTCGGGTGCATTTCTGGACATAGAGTATAGCTTTTGTATATAGCCTTTGACCGAGTTTGGCACGCCGGACAGCTCTTCAAGCTCAAATTCCATCTACCACAATTCTTATATCTAAAACTCCGATCCTACCTCTCTGGCCGCTCCGTTTTAGTTCGCTGTGGTAGTGAATTCTCCGATTGTTATTCAATTCAGGCAGGAGTTCCAAAGGACAGCGTCTTGGATCTCATCCTTTATATTCTTTTTACCACAGATATCCCGATACCCTCCTGGCAACATTCGCTGATGATACCGATATCCTTTCAACCAACGCAGATCCTAAAACAGCGTCATTAAACCTACAAATGCACCTCTCCCTGATTGAACTCCGGTGTAATAAATGGCGCATTAAGATAAATTAATCCAAATGTAAACACATTACCTTCACCCTTTGTCGTGAATCCTGTCCACCAGTTTATTTTAACACCGTCTAGCTTCCATTCTCAGATACAGTCCGGTATCTAACGTGGAACCCTCATACTAAATATAAAAGACAGGAACTTAACCGACGATAAGGCCAACTAAAGAGACTACTAAATAGAAAATATAAACTTTCTATGGAAAACTAGTTACTGATCTACAAGACAGTAATGAAACTTATTTGAGTTTACGGACTAAAACAGTGGGGAACAGCAAAATTTTCTAACATCAAACGCATCCAATCCTTAAAGTCAAAAGTCCTTCGAACAATAACATGCTCCTTTCGAACAATGTCGATGCTACTTTCATCAAGAACATATCCCAGCGAAATTTTCCAAATTTCACCAGAACCTTATTTATCATCCGAATCCCTTTTCAGAATCCCTATCCAGCACCACCCATCCCTATAATCCTCCAAGAAGGTTAAAACGGCAGTAGTCCCGCGGACTTTTAATATTGGAGTTCTGGCAATAGCCAGATTCTCCACTCACGACATGAGTGTATGTACTTTCGCTCAGTCTCCACTGCGTTTAGTCCCAGTGAAGCGGTTGAGAGCGAAATGCAGGGATCTCCAGGAGTCATGATTTTTCCTCCACAATTGGAGGAAAAAGTCTGGCTCAGAGTTCTCTCGCCTGATTCTAAATAGTGTATATAGGTATATACGTGTTCTTTTTTATTTATTTATTCTTAGATTAGTTTATACTTATTTTTTGTATATACATATTATTTTTTCTGTATAATTTATTTTTTTATAGTACATAGAGTGTGAATGTGATCTTAGAACACCATTATAAATGTCCTTTGAGACAGATTTTAATATTTTCAATAAACAAGCTAAAAAAATATGTATGTTTTTTATTTTAAAAATATATAGATATATTTCCTTAAATTTACAGCACGACAAATCAAAAATTGTCCAAGTTTTCCTTCCTTAAAAAATTTCGAATTAAAAATTAAATTGAATGAACATTGGCATCCAAGTGGATGGATACAGTTAAGGAAAGATTAATTGATTCAATGCACTGAAAATTCTTTGTAATGATAAAATAAACTTGAGGCTGATTTAAAGGGTATTTTTCTATACTCATATTTTTATTTAGATGTTTAAATCATATTTGTAATTAAATAAAACTATTTTAATCTTAATTTTCTGAATACATTTAGCCCGTGGTACAGAACTATTTTGATCAAATTATTAACATCCACCTGAAACTTCGAAAATTGCTTTATCTTATCGTAACCTACAATTATTTTATTTACGAAAACTCTCGGAATTGGGGAATTTCAATCTGGAGGTTGGCAAACTTTGTCTATTTAATTAGATACCAAAAACTCGTATATATCCATTTGCTTTTCACTTGCATCATTAGATAATTTGCTCACAAAATCGAGAAAAAATGTGGCCAAAAATATTGAGGGGGTGTAGGTCACGCCAAACGGCTCCATATTTTTGATGGCCACCTTTCTTCTCGAATGCATGCTCACATTATCTTACGGTTCAAGTGGAAAGCAAATGAATATTTACGAGTTTTTAGTACCTAATTAAATAGACAAAGTTTGACTATCTTCCAAGAATTTTCGTTAATAAAATAATTTGATGTTATTAATTTGATAAAAAGAGGTCTGTTCCATGGACTAACTTATTTAAATAAGATTATTTAAATACTTATATTTTTAATTGGTATTTAATTAATATTATATTCAGTAGTAAACTACTACATATAACAATATTTGCAGATTTTACGATTTAAAAATAATTATACTTATTTTTAAACACTATTAATATAATGAAAATTAGTCTTAGTTTTGTTTTAACATAATAAAAAAAAGGCCAAGAACATTTCTTTTTTTTAATTATAATTAAGTTGATCAGAAATTTAACTTTTCTCTGTTGTAAATTGTACTCAAAGTCAAAGGTAAAATTTGTTAATGAATAATGTAAACAATTATATTGATACAGATTCCATTAAGAATAAAATTCTGCTCTAAGTGGGGAACGTTTCATACTTGAAATACGATAACAAATCAGTTGGCCTCTTGTTAACAAGCTACTATCAATCAATTACTAGAAACAATTATGAATGAATGAAAAATAACTTTATTCTTGGATTTAATTCTCCTAAGAATAATGAAAAAGTACAAAAAATATGTACATTAATCTGGCATGTAGAAATAAAATAAACAATAAAATATTACTTCTCAATTAACTATTAATAACCAATTGTAATTACAAAATTTAAAAGTGCTTACATATTTGTATATATATGTATACATATATAATATATATATATTGTATATATATATGAATTAGGTAGTGGAATAGGAGTTGTATGAAGGAATTTGTGGACGAGGATTGACGTATGTGGATTTGCTGAAGGACGTGTTTTTATGGGAAGGTCTACAGGTTGCGATTTGTTATTAATTGGGTGTATATAAAAATATAAAGTAAGGATTTCCAGTACATCACAGGAAGGATTTTTAATTCTGAGGAATTGAAAAAGAAAAACAATTACCGTCGGGAAGTAGTTGGACAGAGGCACTTCAATTCGGTTTATCAACAGGAAACATCAGAACGCCTGAGAAGTCCAAAGATCAATCTTATGAAGCAATTTATGAATCAATTATTTGTTGTTAAACTCTTAAATAACATCTTTCAGAAACAGAAACAGAAAGTTTTGTGTGTTAATAAACTGAAATCCTTATTGTTTAAAATGTCGATTTTACTGCCATTGTGATGGTCTCATTCATTTCAGAAACTAAACGATTGCTCTCGACGATATCTTACTCGACTTTGACAAAATTATTTTGCAAAAATACCTATCCCATTTCTACTTTATCACACATATTCTGCATATCTTGATTCCTACTGCCAAGACGAACAAATAAAATATAATTTCATATTGGTGATATCGATATTTTAGATTCAATATTAATTTAATATCGACACCTTAGGAGGATATCGATTTTCATAAAGAATATAGGATCTTGCCCGATACTGCAACAACCTAAGCGGATCCAACACGGTCAGTCGGAATGACGTTCTGAAGCACTGTACACATTCTTACTGATCGTGTAAGGTTAGGATTTATGTAATGGACGTGACTAACGGATTTTTGGAAATGCGGTAATCAAAGCTTCTATCACGAGAAGTGGAGGGGAGACTGAGGTAAAAGTGGTGGGGAGGGAATAATCTATTAGATAGGTTGGCCTCATAATTAATTTTTGTAAGTAGTTGACTTCTATTTTGTAACTGTTGTCAAAACGCTTTTCAGGCCGTTGGCAGTGATTATTATATCTCCACTTTTCTCTTTATGTTCAATACTATAAAGGATAATGAACAACTAAGCTCTTTTTAACGATACAATTCATTATTAATGGATAACGCACCAGCACTAGATCTATACTGGCTGTTATCTCAACATCAAATGAGCTAAAATGAATCAGTCTGATTGATATGTGTAGGGTTTATCACGATTGAAGCTATACTAGTCTTGTGACTGTCATTCATGACTGATCGTGTAAGGTCCGTTTTAGGCACGCCAAAAGTATAGGCGAAATAGTGGGGGGATCGAATTTCAAAAGAAAATTTCATCCATTTTATCTCTGTAAATTAAGTAGGGAAGAGCCGTTTAAAAAACCCGACTTCTTCTACCCTGCAACCTGCCTACCTAACTTGTGATGTTGGGTCGTGCCGTCAAATATCCCCCTTAATAGCCTTCATGGTTGTGGGTCAACCCGTTCTTTGATTCTTGAGTTGCGATTTAACTCGGTCTCAATCTTGTTTCTTAGCTGAGATGGGACTCAACGAACCTGAAATACGAATGACCTCGAACCTTCTTTCAGAAAATTTTAGCCGTAATCACTTATAATCGGCTTGGCTTGTTTTTAAGAGTCTGCATTACAGTTAGCTAGTGAGCAAAGGAAACCTCCGCAATTGGCTTCCATGGGCCTACTAAATACTACTTGCGCCATTGTAAAACTATTTCTTCTTGTTCTTTTTGGGCTGGTTTTACAACACAAAGTTAAAATAAAAGTTATATAACGAAGTTAATGTAAACCAAGTGTTTTGTTATACAGTATGGATCCAATTTCGGCTATGAAATTATCTCGCTACGGTCAATGAAATGTTAATTACATATCTTCATATAAAAAATCACATAATAAGGATCACTATTTAAAAAACAAACAATCAAGATCAATAAAAGCTGAAGCAATATGTCAACAAAGCAAGGCTAACTGTTATCTCAACTGATAATATGATTCCTGGAACAGATCAAGTCAACAGGTGCTCCAATAACATTAACACCACTCTTTTTTACGTGCGAATGCGTGAAGTATTTATACCTTCTCTAGAATTGGTCTATGGCGTAAGAAAAATAAATAAATCTTGGAATATTTATGAGTATTCTTCCATAAATGTTTCTTAAAATACTCTACTGGATCAGCCGATGAGGTAACAATGTCTTCCAAGAGCTAACCTCTCGAAATGTTTCCACGATCTGTACTGTACTTAAGTTCTATTTTTGCTTTCTTGCTACTTTTATAGTCACATTTTTAGTATTTAGTTTTTAATTTCCATTTTTTTTTTTTTTTGTTTACTGGACCATATCTATGCTTTTCAGAGTCCCATAAGTGGGAAAAAAATGTATGCTTTCTGTAAGTTAAAAAAGTATATACATTTATACAAAATAACTAACAAGTGACGTCATCACTTCAGTCGCTCCACTACATCATTCCATTTGAATGGATCCTCAGAAGAAAATTCTTCAAAACGATTTATAATCTTAGCATCTTTGGTCTACAGAGTAAATATTTAATGAAATGATGGATTAAAGATTTCCCATGATATAAAATTAAGATAAGATAATTAAAGTATATTGTTTGGTATTCCCATTAATATAAGCATGCATAAAATTGGTGTACATTGTAAGATTATAACCAGAACCAGTAGGGTCAGATAAGATCAAAGATTGTTCTAGATAAATTTTTACCTAAGACCAATCCTCAAAGAAAGGAGATTGACTTGACACTTAACTCATTATACGATGCTACTTTCGTCAAAATCTTCCATCGTTTTAAAGAGTTGATAATCCGATCTCCAATCTCCATTACATCAATTAAGCAACAAAATTAGTAATTAATTCATTCACTCATTAACAAGATTTTTATGTTTTTAAAATTTTGTTGGACCAATATTGCTGATATAATTTTCAATTTTATAATATTGACTTAAAGTATCTGTTTGTACTTTAATCCATTATGTATGATTCATACAACATTGCAAAATCCATCCTAATATCCGAGGATATATGTAAATCGTTTCCGGGAGTAGGCAGATTCAAATACACAATAACCTCAATAAAAACCGAACCATCTGAAGTAGATCAGTGTAAAAAGCGCAAATAGAACTTTCTTCTCTTTTTGAATGTTGCTGATATACCGAAAAATTGCAAGATATCTCAAATTAAGGATGAACAATGTCAATGCTGATATACAGCTACGAAATCCTAACTAGCACCCTCAAAATATTTGAGAGGAAAGTCCTGGGTTAAGAGTACTATCGTAGAAAAGGACCAACAAAGAACGGCAAGTAGAAAATGGCCGATCTATATCTTTATGCCATGATATGAAGGCAAGGAGATGGGCGAGAAATGTAGCTTGAAGCGATCTATCCTTTTACACAACAATGGATGCCACATTACGAGAAACCCTGTTTGAGACCAAATGAGAATCAACAAAAAAACGGAGCTGATATACTGCTCGAACTCCGTTGAATTCGAGAACAGATGGAAGAAAAGGACTGGGTGTTTGTTGGAAGAAAGGCGAATGGTGAAGCCGAATGATGGAAAAATTCACAATGGACAAAAGTTTTAATTCAATAACTTGAAAACCCATATTACCATAAGGCAAGACAGGGTGTTCATAAATTAATAAGTGATAGATATAGAGATGTCTCGGTTCGAATCCAGCCATGATGGGTTAAATTATATTTCGAGGTGGACCCGCAGAATGAATCCCATCTTTCCCATTCTGGTTACAATAGGTTTGATGGAAGAACACCGCCCACCCACCGTATTCCAGAAATAGCGTAGTAGGGCGCAAACGAAAAAAAGAAAAAAGAGGTAAAGGGTAGTTCGGGCGCCAAATATTTATATGATCTATAAATCCAACAGAAAGAAACATAAACGTTCATATTATTTAGACAACATCCAATAAAACTGGATGATCTATTAATCCATCAGTTTTATAAAATTATTTTCTGTATACTATCTATGGATTGGATCTGAAGTTTTTACTTTACTGAAATTTTACTCGGCTCTATAAAGTGGTTACAGGAATCTTCAATGGAATGGAAAAAAATGATGTTTTAGTCTTCATAGGGTCCCTTCATGTATTAAAAATTCCTCCAGAAGATGCTATAAACAGTGACTTTTCATGACATCTCATTTTAATTAATTAAAAAAGTAGTTAGAATTCTCCATATAAGCTATTTATGCGTTTGGGGATGCGCTCATCTTTACTATTTATAGTAGTTATTATAAACCTATTATAATAATAGGTAACATCATTATATATTTTCTAAGTTCTGATCAGAATTGCCATTAAATACTGATTAGTAATGGTCGGATGAACGAAAAATTGTAATCTGGGCCTTCTCCCTCTAACCGATATATTTCTATTAGTAAATATGACCCTTAAGAATTCTATTTATGTAAGTTCTCATTTTTTAATTATTTTGCTGTTGAATGTTAAAAAAAAACTGTAGGATGATGAATTATTTGATGTCAATGAAAATATCAACTGCTTCTAAAGATTTATTCTTCATCAATTTCTAAATCTTCGATATTAACAGATTTTTTAATCACAAACTTCTTTAGGCGCGTTTCGCAATTTTTTGTAAAGAGTGAATTAGATTGTGCCATCAGATTTCCTATGTGTAACGCTCTTATAAAGTCGGCTGGAGTCATTTTAAATATATTCCGAAAATGTATTTTTAATAAAAATAGTTTGTATTTTATAAAGTTAGAATCCATTGCTCGCAAAGCATGGAGCCAATACCGTATGATTATTTTTTAAATATTCTATTTTACCTCAAACATAAACGTATCCACTTCTTCTTGTATATCGGCCTCGGTAAATAAACCTGGATTGGAATCTTCCACTTCCAGAAGTAGATCTAGGAATGCTTTTCTTCGACCTGCCAAAGAACAAACATTTTATAAAATTTAAGTGAACGATAGAATTTAATTATTAAACTTATATTTAAGTTGCAGCCATACTTTTAAGATTTTAAAAAAATTAACGAAATGTCTCTCTTCAAGACATATTGAAGTTTTAGGTATCCAAGGAAAGCTGAGAAGGGATGGAAACCCATTAAATTTGATTAAATATGCCAATAATGTTAAACTTTTCAACTTATTAAATATCATTAAATATAAATGAAAGCTTACTTTTATTTCCTTCACCAACATCCGATTTTTCTGATTGATATAACTGCTTCCTCCTTCGTATGACCTAAATAATAAAATATAACACATTATATCTACAATTATAGGGAATAAGTTGCTAACTGCATACAATAAAATTTTGTAAATCATATTTTTAGATTAATTTGAAATTTTATTCCCGATTTTGAGTAACTATTATTACTCGTAACAGTAATCACTTATTTTCTATTACGAGACTAATTTTTTTTTCAACTTCTTGTTACTTTCACTTACCTATATATGAAAGGTATAGTCAGGGATAGTATTGCGATTGTGAAAATTTTCTGATTTTTTTTTTTTTTGTGAAAATAGATACGAAAAGTTGTATGAACGTGAAATTGCATATTTAAGGATTGTATATACTAGAGATGTTACAGAAAATTTTTCGTCAAAATCGACTTACCGGAAATGGCACTTTATATAATCGATGATACCATTTTTACGATTATCTCGGAAACGGCTTCAACGATTTTGATTAAACTCGGTATATCAGTCTATTATTAAGCGGTCTTTAATATTAGGCAGGTCTTATCCCCATAGATGTCACTTTACAGGGCTTAAATGCCCAATGTTCATATACGCCTTCCTCTAAAGTACCTTTAATATGGTACTTATTTATTATTTTAAAAAATAACTCTCTTTTACTACTTGACAGTAACTATAAAAATGGCTATATATGAAGTTTAAAAGAATATGGTAATTGGAAACTGGAGAAAAAAAGAAAAATGCTTATCCTGGTTGAAAATGAATCTCCCAACAGTCAGAAGGTATATGTATAATATATCGTTGGAAAGAGAAGAAATTTAGAAAAAATAATATCTAATAAATAAAGTTGTAGAAGGTAACGGAGACTTACGAAAAAATATAAATAATAATTTGAGAAAAATAACATTATTTAACGTAAATCACATGTTTCCAAGAAAATTAAATACGATTTTCTTACTGAATGTAAACTTTTAATTTTTTAAGTTTGAAAAACAGTATTTAAAATCCACCGAATCAAACCGATACCATTGTTTAAATACTATTTCATTGTGCTTATGTGAAAGAAGAAGTGGAATATAAAAATATTTCATATTTAGGATATTTTTATAACCTAAAATACATTTACTTTAGTTTAATAATTCTAGATCTGATATTATATTTAAATAATTAGGTATCAATCGTCCGTATAAAATTCAATCAGTGAATAATTTGATAAATTTTCACTTAGTGATATCCAAACTTACAATTAGTGTGACAACGCATGACCTATTTATGACAGGCAATGCAAATCTGGTTATTCCATTTTAGTAAACTTTGCAATGGAAAATAACAGCTTAATGACTAATAGTCGTACAATCCGTAATCAGCCGTTGATATAATAAATACATTTTTTGTTATCTTATTGGCATTAATGATTTGTTAGCTGTAAACTTTAAGCTTTAGCTTGGTTAAAAATGCACTTCAATAATTTTATAATGGCCCAACATTAAGTGAATGTAAGTTGTGTTTTCCACTTCCACCTCAGATTTCAGATTTTTTCTATTACAGATACCTGAACCACGTTCGGATTTACGGGAGGGCTTTCGGGCTGAAGCCCCCCCTCTCCAAAATGTTAAATATAACCATGTCTTATGATAAACATATTTAATAATTACCTCTAAAGGTATTATTGTTCGCATAATTACATTTAGTAGTACTTAAAAAATCACTTAAACTCTATTTCATATAGGTAGTTAAGTTCCCTTCATTTTCTTCATTATCGTTACATGTTTTTAAAAAAAAATCTTTCGGGCTGAAGCCCTCCCTATACTAAATCCTGGATCCGCTAGTGACCTGAACCAATAGTTATGAAAATTGTTAGGACCTATCACATTCAAAACAATATGTAACACATTTTTGCATAATTTGCTGATTGGTTTCCTTATGCTTAGTGCGTTCCGATTCTGCAAGATAATTTCACATCGCCAAAACAATTTTCTCTTATATATTCTTGGCGTGAGTAAAAGGAATGGGTTATGATGGCCAATAATAGCTTTCGAATCTGTATCGAGATCTTTCTGGACCTAGCAGAATCGATTATGTTCCGAGATCGAACCATTACATGCAAAAGTAATAATAACTTGTGTTTAGAATGTGTAGCATACATATCAGTTACCAGCGATCTATGATGATTTGGTTTGTGAAAATTTCTTTAGTCGAGTTTTGCACCTTTTTTGTGGAGAGTGAATTAGATTGAGCCATTAGATCTCCGATGAGTAACGTTCGGGTAAAGTCGCCTGGAGTCGACCTGGAGTTTTGCATATGGATTAAAATATCCCAAAAACTAAAAATCGTAACTGCATACTGTAAGCAAGGGAAATGTTCATCATTTCATCCTCTTTGTAATGAGCTATTATTCAAATTTGTATCTTAACGCGAAGCTGTGTTAGAGACAGGAAAAGAGAAGAAATAGTGTCGAAAAGCAAATAACAACTTTTATGGAAGAAGTGGATTAAAATATCTCAGAATATCAGACCTCCGTACTGTAAGCGAGGGAAACGATCAGCATTCCATCCTATATATTTATAATTTATATTTCATATTGTTAACCTCGCGTAGTTGATGTTTTTACTTCTATCGTGTGGTCTAAAGCACACACCTAAGTTTTTTATTTTATTTTTATTTTTTAATTAATAATTTAGAAGTTAAAACTTCTTTAGGTAGCTTTGCATACTTTTTTGTGGAGAAGGATTAGATTAAGCCGTCACGTTCGGATATGTAACGCTCATTCGATTAAAGTCGGTTCCAGTCGACTAAATGAACTGTTATTGCATTTGGATTAAAATATCTCATAAACTAAAAATCGAAGCTGCATACTCTTAGCTCGGCAAATGTTCAGCATTTCATCCTCTCTGTAATGGGCTATAATTCAAAATTTAATCATAACGCGACGCCGTTCAGTGGTTGAAAATTGGAAAAAAAAATGGATAAATCTCTGGCAATACTGATCTGTGAATCACAGAAAAATAGTTTTGATACTATTGTAATGACAACTAAATTATCTATAAAATATATACCACAGTAGAATCCCGTTTAACCGGCGACATGTATTAACCGGAGATAAAAGAAATGAATATTTTTTTTTTCTCTCAGAATAAGAAAGCTTCAGCTAACTAAATTATTGAAACAAATGAGATAGTTGTTTTTTTCTTGACCTTTGAAGTTATATTAAGAGAATAAATGGAGTAGCAAACTAATAAAGGAAAAATTAACAGGGTAACAAATAGTGAAAATCTTGCTATATTGTGAAAGAAGAGGGATTGTGTAATTTGCGTTTTTCAATAGGCTACACAGTAATTAATGAACACACTTAAGATCGATTAATCAAAAAAAAAAATTAGCGGGCCTCATGAAGACTATTAAATAGCGAACAACCGTTCATACATTATAATTATTTAATTAAATCATATATTTTAGATAAGTTACAATACGCTGGTCAAATCAATTTCAATCCATCATATATTAATACACATATAACCTATAAATTAATTTTTGTAAACACTTTCAATTTTAATTTTTAATTATATTTTAACCGGCCATGTTTCGATTCTGAGTAGGTCGGATAAGCGAGGTAGTAAAAGATTTTACAATTGAAGTAGTAAGTCAATTTATGAGATGTTTATTCTTTAAAAAAAAAAAAAACTTATAAAATAAATAAAAGCAATAGCATGATTTTGCAAGGTGGAAGGTTCAGAAATTTCATTTTATTATTTTATTCAGTGCTACCAAATACAAAAACTCGTTTGTATAAGAAAACTCATAAAAAATAAGAAATTATTTTTAAACAACTCTTTTCTTTAACAACTAATCATTTTTTTCAAATTAGAATTAATTCAATATTTACTAACTTATATACTGCATGATAATAATACGACGGATTTCCTAATTTTTATCCGAAATAAATAGAATCTGAAGAAACATTTTTTTAAATTAATTTTTTTACTATATTTATATATTTTTTTAAACATCTAATTATATCTAAGAGAAAGGTGATACATAATAATATACTTAATATTATATAATTATATACTAGTTTATTTTAGGGTCAATAACTTTTTCATTTCAAATAGACGCTCGTTCAAAAATAATCTAATAAATATTATTTAACAGATTAAATTACGCTAAAATTACAGACGCATGAGGACGCAGCTGAAATCTGTTTTAATATTTTTTTTAGGATTCTAGTCTTAATAAACAAATAGATGTTAGGCCTGCGATCGGCTGCTATAAAAAGGTCTGGACCAACAAAATAATTTTTTTTTCTATTTATTTTGGTACTTTTTCAAAATAATATTGTGGATATGAAAATACGAATAAGTAATTTATTTTTCCTAGCAGTGTATCGTTTGGAATAGCTATCCATGGTTATAAAATGAAATCGTACCAAACATACAAAATGTGAGTAAAAATAATGATAATTCATCCAGCTAGTGGTTTCAGATACTGTTGGTATTCTACTGTGTTTTATATAAAATTTGTAGAGCCAAATATTAAAAAAAAAAAAAATTGTTATTTATGTATTGTCTTCCTTTCATTGTTTAATCGATTTTAATTTATATTCTGTCCGAAAAATTACGATTAAAACAGGAAACTTAATAACATTATTTCAGTGCTACATAACATTTATATTTTAGGAAAACAATCCTTAAATCTATTGTTTATCCTATTTAAATTACTTTTTTTTTGGAGTCGTTTAATTAAATACATTACAGATATGGAATACGTATTAATGTAATGGAATACGTATGGAATAAGAATTAAGTATACCTTTTTTGAAAAGGATTGAAGCGTGTCGATACTGTTGTAGAACTTCTTGCCAAACTCAGAACGGCGATAAATGAAGTCTGAGTAAAGCCAAAACGTGAGATATCTTAATACTATCCCTTCAGAAGCACTGGAATAAACAGAGCAGCCGAATCAACTTTTGCTTTTGATACAATTACGCTAAAACATTGAAAGAAATTAAAATAAAATACTGTAAAAAAAAAATGCAAACAAATATAACTGCAAATCGGACATTTTCTTACTAGTTAGAATAGAATAGAAAATAATTTTATTCTGGGACGAAGTCCCTTCAGAATAACAAAACAAGTACAAAATTAAAATGCTATATCTGGCCTAATAAAAACAAACATAAAAAGTATAGATAAAGATAAATCAGTAAAGAAAATATTAGTTATACATACTATATACAAAATAAAAAAAAAATTCATATAAAAAACTCTTGAAACCTTGCCAAGACACTTAAAACTATGTACAATGGTAAAATATAAATATACACTTTTAGAAAAAATAAAAAATACATTATATTCTTCTTAGCAGTAAACTTTGTGTTTTTGTTGAAAAAAAAAGAAAATCGAATCTGATAATAAGTATGAGCTATATGTAAATACATTATTATGAATAATATATAATTTTACATAAAAGGTTAGCGGGTATCTGGCTGTTTTTGGGACAGGAATTGGAATAGGAGGGTTTTTGAATGTAGAGGGAATGCCAAATTTCGATAGGAAGGGAATTTCAAAAATTAACAGAGGGAGCAATAAAGGAGTTTTGGGAGGAGGCAGATCTGTGAGAAGGAATGTAAAGGTCGGAAGGTCGAGATCTTGTGGAAATGGAGTGGACTGAGGACTTGCATTGGAGAAGGTTTTAGGCGTATGAAGGACGATGATGTGATAGAGGAATGTACCTAGGAAATATTCTTTTCGAATGGAGGGGAAGAGACACTCTAACTCAGTTTAGTGAAATGAAATGAAATGAAAATAATTTTATTATTCTGGGACTAGTGTCCCTTTAGAACAAGTCACAAATACAGAATAAATATCAATATTTTGGTGTGTCCATGAAATAGTACTTAATATTTACAGGTTGATTCGGAGTACAATAAAGTTATAAATGATGAAAAGATATAAATACGTGTAAATATAAAATATACAAAGAAATCAATTAAGTGAACGAAATATCGATGAATTACAAAATAATCTGGGTGAACTTTGAGGTTTTTAAGTGCATTTCGTGATCAATCGGATTGGGAATGGAGTAGGTGTTCGACGAGGAGAGATATGAAAGAGGATATCTATTTTGCGTGTCGAATATCTGAAGGTATAGAGTTCCAGAGGGAGACAACTTGTATTAAAAAGGATTTATCAAATGCAGTAGTTCGGTGAGGGGAGAATAGAGGTCGGACGCACGGGGTTTGGTGGGACGGGATTGAAAGGAGCGTTTGAATTGTAGGATCTGTAGAATATAGGCAGGTCGCCGTGTTGTAATGGCTCGGTATAGGAAAGTAGCAAGGAAATATTGACGGCGGTAGGACGGATAGAGCCACTTCAACTTGGTGTAGAACTGGGTAGTATGCGTATCCCTTGAGATCCCGAAGATAAAGCGGATTGAGCAATTCATTAAACGATTAAGTTTGGCTTCGAGTTCTAACGAGAGTTCACCATACATCATGCAGCCATAGTCGAAGTGGGGGCAAACAATGGATAATCAACCAATGATATAATAAATAGGACTTTTGTTATTTTAATGGTATTTATGATTTGCTAGCTGTAATCTTTTAGTTGTAATTCGGTTAAAATAGAAATTCAAAAATTTTATAATAATCCAACATGGCCAGAAAATAATTTCTGTTCAAAGTAGAGCGGTAAGTGAAAGTTGTGTGTTACGCGCACCAGATTATTTTTATTTGTTCATGATATTTACAACTGTATTACAATATAGATATAACACGTAAATGTGTACACAGGAATATAATTACATGAAAACATTTTTGCATGTCTAAACCCATATATAAAAGTTTAAAAAAGAAAAACATTTCCTACATTTTCCGCCATAAATTTCCCGTTTCGATCCTCAAGTTACTGGCCTTATATTCTTTCAACCAGCGCCATTTTTTCAGGGAGTATGATCCGACTGATAAACTCTCATTTTTTTAATATAAGTGTTACAAATATTGGGAAGGGGGTAGCACAGTGACTTATAGAGCACTGACTTCCAGAGTTCAAAGAACCAGATTCGAATTCGGCTGGCGACTAGTAATTTTCCATCATCCGTGGATTAAAAGCATTTTTAAATATTATACAACCTAGGACCGGGAGACCCTCCTGGGGTAAACCCAACCTCTAATAAAGTGGGTACACTTAATTAAATAATTAATTAAGGGAAAAACTTGGCGGTTGAGCGTGATACTGGCACGTCACTGATGGCCTTGTAACAGTACTTCCTCACATAACCCTTCATGTGTTGTTAGTGGTACACATTTTTTTTTTCCAGTTTACAAAATTTAAAAAAATTGTATTAACATCTTCCACAGCTCACCATGTTACGGTCTTCAATTTGGAAAAATCGTTTCCGCAACAAACTTGCCGGATGCTCAGTGGAGACGTCAGGGTTCGCAAAAAAAAAAAATAAAATAATCAAGAGTCAATTAAATATTATTAACTATCTAACAGGCGCCACGCTATTTAATTTGTTGAATTTGGAAAATAGCGAAAACCATTAAAAAAAAAATTAAATAATTTAATTTTAAAAAAAGATTAGGACGAGGAGTGAGCTACGAACTCGGAACCTTTGGGTTTAAAAACATATGTTAATTAACCTCATAACCTATCGAACCTTCTTACTTGGTTAATAATGACTTTTCCTAATCCCTCGAATAGGGTGTTTCAGTTCCTTGTTAAACCTTAAAAAAAAGGAATATAATATATATATATATAAAACGTGAAAAAAAAGAAGAAAATAAAACTGGCTATTATTAATACTAATGATTAATTTATTTATTTCTATTGATTTAAATAACTGTTAAAGGAAATGAAAATTATGAACAAGAAATAGATTAATAAGAAAACAAAGAAAATACAATTAACTTTAATTATCAAAAAAAAAAAAATAATATAAAATTATTATAGAACTAAACGTTAAGTTACGACTATACAATAAACCAATTACAAATATTTGGGGAAAAAATAGATAGGAAAAAAAACTTATATATACATATTTAAAATATCCCACTGGTTGAACTTTGTCCAATTGGCACATTGGGTTATCTGAAGAAGCGGGAACTTATTCGAACTAGCGTCGTCAGGGTCTCCCCAATTTATCTCCTCAAGCTGTGAAAATGTTCATTCACCAATTTGTAAAATCAAGCGGCACTCATCGCTGATAATCACAGGTTTATGGAGAGGAAAAGAAAATCCGGTGTACACCGTAAAACTTAAGTATTTCACACAACCAAATCCTTAGCGTGCCTCAACACTCGCGAGGTTCCGCCATCTCTCTCCAAACTATCTTTTGTTTTTCCTCCCAATCAGCTGTTGGTTATTCCAATCCGAAATAAAATGAATACATAAAACTAAGACTTATGATAAACTAATACTTATTATTAAAACTAATACTAAATACTTAATTTTATATTTAACCCTCTTCGAGTTAATAATAAAACTAGCAATTATTTTACGAACTATTTTTTTTTTGTATTTCATTTTTCTTTACAGGAATACCGAGATTATGTGACTGTGGGTTGTATCATTTGTTTAGTAGGATTTTTAAATATTATACTTAAACGAAAGGGAGGGGGAATTTTGTCGCCCCCATTTAAATGCTGTCTGGGGCACATAGCCAACTTGCTCCACCCTAGATACAACACTGTAAAAAAAGTATAATTTATATAAAAATATAAGAGAGAAAATATACAATATATTTTTCCAGAGACACATACTCCTTTATTGCTGTAATGAATGCATTCTGTTCTTCATTGTCAGTACTCAATGTTACCCCCATTGCTGTTTCTGAAACAGTTAAATATTAACATTACGCTTTCATCACTTTCGGATATTTCAAATTTATTAAAATCCTTCTTTGATAATTAATGATTAATTTAATATAATGTTTAACTCGATAACGAATCGATTAAACCATAATCAGTAACCAATGAGCTTCACAGAAGTTGAAATGAGTTTTGTCAAAAATAAATAAAAATATTCAGCGCTCCAATTCCTGAAAGGGAAGCTGCAGACTCACCACATATTATCTTGAGTGTGGCCATACGAATAGGTTCCTGAATGTCAAGAGGTTTGCCTCCGCTTTCCAATATAGATTCGACATATGTCTCCGAGTTCTTCGATATCCCTCCTAAAAAACTTTCCAAGATCTTGAAGTGGAAGCTGGGTGTCAGGAGTTTCCTCCGAAGGCGCCATTTATCGCCTGTAAAACATAGGAATATGCCATTATACAGGATGTCCCGGAAATAGAGGAAAATATTTAAAAGATAGCAGATGTCAAGATCTATAAAAAAGTTTATATAAACAATTGTAAAATTCAAGAAAAGTAAGATATTTAAGATCCGTGTTTTTACTTTCCTACCTATACTAGGTATAATGTTCTAATCATTGTCCTTTCAATGTTCGTATACAGACTAAATTCCCGATAAAAATTCAGGAAAAAAAGTTATAAAGAAAAGAAAAATGTTATGGGGCCTAACTCCCTAATTATATATTATACGGTAAAATTTATAATAAAACTTTTGAAAGGTAATTAAATTACCAACAAAGCAAAAAAAAAAAAAAACACACAATCTTCACTATTTCCTCTACTTTTAACAGAAATTATTGTTTCACAATACTAAGCTATGGCAAAAAGTTTTTGATCAGCAATATTAGTGAGAATTGAAAATTTTACACTGATCTACATTAAGCCGGTTTACATTGCTTTAGTTTATCAAATAAATCGTACTAAAATCTTTTGTTTAATCAATTTTCAGTAAAATAACTCTAGTTTAATTCTTTTTTGTTTCCTCATGAGCATAAGTAAAGATATGAAAACTTTTCTGAAATAGGTAGGAAAGTGGACACACCAGATTTTTCTTTTTATGCGAGTCATATTTTTTGTTGAATAGGAAACGATAACCTAAAAAATACTGGATTTAAATAACTAAACATGGCTCCATAATAAACTAGAAAAAATTTGCTTAAAAAGAAAATAGAGTCATTGTTTAAATTATTTAACGAGGTCTATAGAGCGGATAAAAACAGTTATCTTCCGTTTAAAAAAAAAAAGTCATAAATTATTTGTGATTTTTTTTTTATCACTCTTTAACTGTACTACATTTACCCCAATTTTCGAAAAACTTTCTCGTTTAATCAACTATAAGTACATATTAATTAAGTTGAGGTTTATTAAGAAAAAATTTAAGATTCACCTCAAGTTCTGTAAAGAAATGATGTGATTTCCTATCCAGTCACCTTACAGTGCCCGTGTTTTCTGCAAAAGCGACTACAATCAACTGTTGCAAAGCTTTCATTTCTTGTTTTTCCGTAATATGGGAAGTATTTTAATAAATATAATTGCGTAATATAATATAATAACACATTATATTTATAAATATAAAAATGAAAAATAATTATTTTTTAAAAGAAGGAGATAGTCCGAGGTGGCTGTGATAAATAGGCTAAATAGTGATAAAACTATTTTATGAAAAAAGACTGATTTCCGAATCCATCCACATTCACATGGAACAGAATCCTGTTGATCATAAAGTAGATGAAAACTGTATTTCTTTAACACATAGACACATTTTAAATGTTATAAGTGAAAAATAACTTATATATTACATTCTATTATTTCTACTTTTATTGATTAATTCATTTAATTGTTCATTATTCTAAGTATTTCCGCTTTGTATGATCTCTCTTTTATTTTATTTTTAATTTATATTTACACTGTACATCAATGTACGATCACCCTTTTTCACTTTGTATTAATTTTACTTATTAACTATGTCTCAATATTATCTAATATTCAAATGTAATTTTCTTACATATGTACAACCAAATATAATTATAATTATTAATTTTTTCTCTCTCTATACTACTAAATTACCCAGCTATTCAAAGAAAAGAGTGATGTAGTTTTTGGACCGCCGTGTGATGCGAAAGCTTGTGCTCCTGTCGCCGTTTGTTCCAATGGACTCTGAATTGAAAAACATCTCGCTGGAGGAAAATTTATTTTTAAAAATATGAATTTCATTTATTCTTTCGAAAAACCTTTTATTCGTGCACACGAAAATACGGGTTCTCCCGGATTCAGTTTTTATTCAGTTCTAATAGATCTGGAAGCATTGCAACCTCAAGCAACTATAGTCTCCTTGAAGAATCCATGCGATTCATTATACTGGTCACGATAATAATTTGTACATTTCTCATTAGAAAGTGTTGTTCTTTTGTTAAAATAGCTGCTGTTGGGGACGTTTTCATGAGGCAAGATACTAATTATTTGGTCTAGGATTTTTTCGGAATCTGATTATGATCGCAATCAGAAAATATTCTGAGTTTTTGTTCTTAGAGAACTCATTTCCAACTCTGCAGGACCATTTATTGTAATCTTTCTTAAATTTTGACAATGTCGGCAAAAATTAGCGTTCATTGACCCTGGTTATCGATCATATCACTTAATCAAATTATTAGGTTTAGGTACTCGTTCGACGCACAAGTTGATGTTCTTTAATTATTCAAAGAATACTTTGAGAGTACTACAAGATCAGATAAATATGTATTGTTTGGATGTAAAAAGTTTTCTCTTGGTGAATCGTGTCAGCAATTCAGTTTTTTACCTGTCTAAACCCAGATGCAGGGTGTCTCGTAAGTAGAGGGAAATATTTAAAGGAATGATAGCCGAACTCAATAAATACAAAAAAGTTTATATAAACAATGGTTCGATTGTCAGCAGAAAAGTAGGAAATTAAAGTTTTGTGATTATTCATGTAAGTCACGTTTTTTGTTGAATAGAAAGTGATAAAAAAAAAAACTATTTACTTTGAATAAAAATATAGTTTGCTTTTCTTAAAACCATTTAAAGAGGACTTTTTAGAGGCTAATCTCAGCTAAGGAGTGGGGAGAAGATGGGTAGTGGTGGTGGAACGGATAGGGGTGGGAGAAGCACCTGGTACAGAGGTTGGAAAACACTCGCGAGATTTTAGGGAATAATTTGATCTATCAAACTTAAATATCGGTCCAGCCATTAGTTTTAAAAAAACATTACATACTAGTTTTTAGTGGATTGATTGAATGTTTTAAAAAACTCACATAAGTTTTTCAAAACACTCACAGGATATTATCGAACAATTGTTACAGCTATAAAACTTAAAAATCGGTTCAGCCGTGCGCTCAACAAAAGATTCGATGCAATTGGGTAAAAACAATAAAGTTTCACATAAGACATCCAACGAATTAAAATTAATAATCTAACTATACTGTGAATGTGTTCATACCTCACTACAATTATTGTCCAAGTGACAGATTATTATATTTCTAAATAAATAAAAAATAATCCAACTAGTTTACCTTTTTGACTGCCGGTTTGATTTATGTGTATCAAGCAAACTAAGGTAATAAAAATAATTTATTTATTAATGCATACACCTACAGTGACTCACAGTGAAATTGATACACACCTTCGAAAAATAAAATACTTAAATGGTTACAGTAAATAAATAAGACAAGAAACTCTTCAACAGATTTATTTATAATCTCAATTTAAATATGTACAAACTCAATAAAATTAAAATCTTCAACTATGATTATTTGAAAAAAAAAATCAACAAAAACAAAACTGGTTAATTTTTCCTCACAGTCAAAATGATACACCTCACTTCTTATTAACTTTTAAATACTATTAATTTAGTTCAACACCTTGTAGGCAAGAAAAACATATAAGAAAATATATTTTTAAAACTTCTTTGTCAAAAACTTCGTGTTTTCTTATTTCTACCTCTACAAGTGTTCTATCACATTAAGAGTGTTTGGGGTCATTATCCTGATAAAAAACTAAATTAGTTTTTAGCCCCAAATTTTCTTCAATTTCTTTCAATTTTCTTCTCAAGGTGTTAATGTAAACATGTTTATTAACTATACAATGTGAATATTTCAACTATAAAGTGAAGATTTCCTACATCGGAATCCGCCTTATCTAAGCCCCCACACCAAGAAACATAACATAACATAAGAACAAGAAAATAACATATTACTAGTATGTTTATTGATTACAATAAATTATTGTTTTCAATGTAATATAAATTGAACTATTTATTTATACAATAATTTCTATCAATATTCAGGTGTATAATTGTATTGATTGTATATTAAAAAAAAAAGTTTGATTTAATACATTTTTAATGAACTCCTCGTCTTGATAACTTACCACATCAACATTTTTTGGCACAGAATTCATCAGATCTGTAAATTAAAATCTCCTTTGTCTTTTTTTTTTCAAACATTATTTCAAAACATTTATTATTTATTGTTTTTACTCCTATCAAATTACAACCAGAACTCCCCGTAGTATTTATGGGAATTGTTTTCATCTAATTATTTCTAAAGTTTCTAAATGCCTTCTCGATATCATATAAGGGAGGAACATTACACCTTGGAATTTAACATTACTCCAAAACTAGAACCACTTTTTTGTTCCTTTCATTTTTCAGAAACAACATTCCATCTCATAATGAACTGTTTTTTAAAATTTGTCCAAGAACACAAAAAAAAAAAAAAAAGAAGCTATTTTAGTTTATTTGATGGTCCACCGAACCGCTGCTTTCGGTAAATCTTTTATTATCCGATCCTCATCAATATGGAACTCCATCCCCCCGACATCCGTTGCTCCAATACTCTCCCTACTTTTAAATCCCGCCTATTCAATCACATTCTTTACATCCAGTCCCTCTAAAATTGTAAATAAAAACTTCTGTAAATATGTATAAATATTATTATTTTATTGCCAATAATTTGCATTTCATTGTTCTTTCATTTATTTATTTTTTAATCGAGTTAATATAGAAAATAACTTTGTTTTTTTGTTTTTTTCTCTCTATTATATCTATTAGTTAACTTTGTAAATACATTTATATATATCTGAGGCTCAAAAGCACATATTTTTAATTATTATAAAAGGATTCGTCTCAGAATAAATAAAATATTATTATTATTATATCCGTAATGTATTTCTTGTTTATGACATTCTTTGTAAAGTTAATATTTAATTTTAGTCTTGATATTTAATCAGCTCGAAACTGCTCTACAACAGAGTAGAGTTCAGCCATCAAACAATCTATATAACCCCTAAAATCTTATTAATATATTGAAAACACTAACCAGTCGATAAAAGAAGACCATCGTTCAACCAAGGCCTGAAGAAGAGATATTCCCAGTATCCTTTCGAGATGTGAACTGAGCTGCTCAGCACTGGCTGCAAAGTTGTGAAAACGAAATAACATTGTGAAAAATCCATAATGAAAAAAAAATAGAAATATAAAAATAAAATATTAATATGTTATTAAGAATATTATGAATACCAACGGGTAATGTAACAGACGAATAGAGCTTATGAAACAGGTACTGAAAGAGGTACTTTAAGGTACTATTAAGCGACCCTTACACTATCATTCGTGAATGAAAGTCACATGAATGACAAAGATTGCTCGAGATAGCTTTGATCATGAAGGCCCCTACACGTTCAATCATTACTGACCGATTTAGCTCAGCTGACATTGAGATAACAGGCAGCATGGATCTGGTGGATTGTCCACTTATAATAATATGTTTAATTTAAAAAGCTTATTTGGAAATAATTATTGGACATCAACATAAAAATGGAGATATAATAATTACTTTCTAGTGCCTGAAAATCGTTTAGACCAAACTTAAAAAAATATAAGTCAACTACTTACAAAAATTTAGAAAAAGTATTGCGAAAATAATCAATTTGTTAAGAAAAATGGAAAAGTTAATGACAAATAAACACAAAAAGTAAAGATTGTTTTTTATAAGTAAATTGTGAAGTTTCCGCTTTTTTTTTTAATTTATCGCCCACTTCACTATTTATAGAAAAATTGTTGAAAATGGTTAGTAAAAATATAAACTAGTATAAATATAAAAAACTATTTACTCTTATGAAATTATTTACTTAAAAATCAGGAATGTACAATGTTTGTGAGGGTTAGGTAAACTAACCTATCTAGTAGTAAGGTTAATTTCATAGAAAATCGGTTTGACATAAGTTAGTAAAATATAAGTCTACTAAAAAAATTAAGGAAAGGTATTGCGGAAATAATAAATTTATTGAGAAAAATGGGAAAAGAACTGACAAATATACACAACAGTTAAAGATTAATTGTTTTCTCTACATCATTATTAACTTTTGTCATTAAGTAAATTGTGAAGTTTCCACTTTTTTTTTATTTGTTGTCCACTTGACTATTTAAAAAAAAATTGAAGGTGGTTTATAAAATATAAACAAGGAATATGAAAATCTATTTAACTATTTACTTTTCAAGAAAATCACGAATTTATAATGGTTGTGAGGCCTAGGTAGCTATCTAGTAGTAAGGATAGTCTCCCCACTACTTTTACCTCAGTCTCCCCTCCACTTCTTGTGAATGAAATTTTGATTTTCGTAAATCTGCCGGACACGTCCATCAGTACTTCATTCACTACCTTACACGATCATTCGGAACGTCATTAGTGCCTCGGAATGCAAATCCGAATGACCGTGTTTTATATCTTACAGGTACTATCGCCCACGGCAGCGACAGCCATTCCAAACTGCCGACCGTTCATGGTTGTCTATTTGGCTGAAACTGCTCACCGTCGCGGCCAAATCCTCTCGATTTACTAAGCCAGTTTGAAATAATTTTAATAAAAATGTCAGCCTTAAATTTAATGGTTTTCATTCGTATCGGCAAGACAGGAATACATATGATGGCGAAGTTTCAATTTCATTTAATTAATACATGCCACTTTTTCTGATAGTTTAAATTGAATAAAAAGGTTAGGTTATGTCTGTACTATACAATGTTTACAATTATCTACACATTAATGTTCACCTTCGACACAATTAAGGTTTCTTGTAATATTATGAATAGAAAATATCAGCCGTATTATAGAAAGAAGACGACAAAATATCATAGCAGACATTGACTTATATTTGAATTGAAAAAACAAAAATGTCTTACCGTTTTATTAACAGGTATCAGTAAAACAGCATTTTAGTTTTAAAAGACAAATTGATTTTTAAATGTTTATATTTCAGTATTTATCTGAAGATAAAATTTTTAGAATTATTAATTTATTTAAGGTTCACTTTAAAAAAAATAGTTATTAACTGATATTTTGTAAAGCGATTTTAAGACTTTCAATATTTAAAAGTAACTCAGGTATGAACTATAGACAGCTCTTTTAAGAGCAAAAATAAGCTAATTGAGATTTCATCTTTACGAAATAGCTGCTTTTAAAATTAAATGAAATGCAATAAGTAGATTTAGCTAATAGAATACAAAATCGAGAATATAGATGGCCAACAAAACTACTTGGCCATTTGGCATAACCTCCACATCCAAAATAACGAAGTTATATTGACCAAACGGCCCAATGATTCCTCTTTGCTTCCAAAAAAAAAACTGTTATCAAATTATCTTATTTTTTGACCGAAGCCTTTATACATATTTATATGTACACTGACAGGCAAAAAATTCCACCCACTTGTTACCCATTAAGGAACCACGTTGGAAAGGTTGGCTCTGGGAAAAATTACAGGCTGCATATCTTTCGTTTCTTCTTCTCTAGAACCTTTGACGTCCGTCTGGAGATCGAAGAGCGAATCTTGACTCATCTGTAAAAAGTACAGCACTCCATTCGTCCATAGTCCAATGGCTGTGTTATTGAGCAAAAGCCAGCCGTGTTACTCTGTGATTTCTGGTCAATTCTGGTCCTCTTACTGGACGAAAAGCCATTAATCCATTCTCATTTAATCTTTTCCGAGCGGTAAGATCAGAAATTTGTACACCTCGAACTTCTTCGAGCTGATGAATCGCTTGAACAACGGTAAGGTGCCGGTTTCGTAAAATTCTTAAAGTCAAAAACCGGTCATCCCATGGTTCTGTTACCCTAGGCCGTCCAGAACCGGGCCTTCTATTGTAAGAACCATTTCCCGAAAACGCTTGGCGGCGTCTCGTAAAGTTTCATATGGAACTCCGATGGCATTAGCTGCATATCTAATGGAACGTCCATCATAATCGTAAGTGCCACACCACGCGCAACATCCTCAGCACTAAGAGGCATTTTTAAACTTAATATTGAAAAAATTAAAAGTCGGAGACTAAGAAATGTGCTGCAAGAAACGTCTCTGAACTAATGATACTGAATAAACATTTTGATTCCATAGAAAGTAAACATTGGAATCTAGAATCATTTCATTGGATTAGGGGTTATTGTCCTCTATATTAACATTCCTAATTAAAAAGAAACAAAAACATTACCTATTTATTCATTAAAAACAATAGACCAATCCAAAGCAGAAATATTTCTAGATGAAAAAATCAAGTGGGTGGAATTTTTTGCCTGTCAGTGTATAATATAACAATTATACCTTAAAAGAAAAGTTTTCGTTTCGTCTGTCGTAATGAAAATAGTGTCAAATCTTTTATAAAATCATTTTGATCATTAATTCAAACATGTTTAGGCGAAATTTTAATCAACAAAAGTGCTTGCCTGTACTACACGAGTTAAAGAGGTTTGCATTTGTTGTTAAAAAAGAAACTTCCAAAGTAATATAAAATTTTCAGATAGTCCAGAAGTCCATGCAAAAAAAAAAAAAAAGTGGATTATTTGACGGAAGGCTTTACTTATTTATATGTATAATATAATAATTATGTCTTTGAAGAAATGTTTTTCGTTTCGTATGTTAAAATGAAAATGGCGACAAATCAAAAAATAACTTCAGCTTCAATTTCTAGAATTAAAGAACATCAAATCGTGCTTCGAATGAGTAACTATTATTATAAATTTGGTGTACACTTATAAAACTTATAGATGGACACTTACCTCTAAAGACTCAGGTTCTGAAAGTAAAACATAAACGTTCCCAAGCATCTCCACCTGCACAACGCTGCCGTATGTGTCGAACCATTCTTTAAACAGGGGCAAAATATCTAAAACAGATAAAGTTTAATCAATATTCATCCTGATGAAATCATGTACCAAATATTTTATTAGTAATTTCTTAATAATATTATTACTATAGAGATATTACTGTAATTTTTCAAATAAGGAAAACCTAACTAGTCCCGAATGAAAAATTGGAAGAGTTAAGTTCAAAATTATATTGGTTATACCAATTCTTTAGATATTGTAAGCAATGTAAGCAATAGCTTTCCAATGACGGATGGAGTTAGGCAAGGGGATGCTTTGTCTGCCACATTATTTAATATTGCACTTAATAATGTGTTGAAAAAACTGGATTCACCTGGTTGCATACTTAATGGTGCAAATATGTTCTTACGCAGACGATATATGCCTAATTACCAGGAATTTAAGATTAATAAAAGAAATCTTTGCAATATCGAAAGCCGTAGCTGAAAATGTTGGGCTGGAAATCAATCAAGATAAGACAAAATACATGTATGTCGGAGCCGACAATGAGGCTGGTCCAAAGAACATTGAAATATGTGGTCTTTCCTTCGAATGTGTCAACAAATTCACATATCTGGGGGTGGAAGTGAATTCTGAAAATAAAATTGCTGCTGAGGTGTACAAGAGGATCATGGCTGGAAACCGGGCGTACTATGCCAACCTAAAATTTCTTCGATCATCGCTCCTGTCACGAGAAACAAAGATAAGACTTTAGTAAGACCTATTGTGACTCATGCAGCGAAGACATGGATCCTTTGTACTAGCACAATTAGTATGATGAATATTTTTGAAAGAAAAATATTGGGACAAATTTATGAAGCTGTTTGTGAAGAGGGTGTGTGGAGGTATAGAAAAAATGTGGAGCTATATGAATTATATAACAGCTAGCCCCAACATAGTTAATTACGTTAAAAATAGGCATATGGAATGGTTAGGCTACGTGGGTAGAATGGACCACAGCAGGATGCCTTATAGGGCATTGTTCTCTACAATGTATGGCACAAAAAGAAGGAGAAGACCAAGGAAAAGATGGCTACAAGATGTTGAGAGCGACCTTAGAACTCTAGGCTGTGAGAACTTGAAAGGAAATGGCGAGCAATAGAGATGATTGGCATGCTATAATTCAGGAAGCCAAGGCCGACCCTGGGCTGTAGAGCTGCATAGTAAGTGAGTAATTCTTTAGATATACTAACTAAAACTGTCTAGAAACTAAAAAAGTATTAGTAACTATTTTGGAGGACCCCGAGACGTTCTCATGTTTCCCACTACTACGCCGAGTCAGGGTGGCTTTTTCCCTCCTTCAGAAGACAGTACATTCCTAGGTACATGACCTTTTCCCTCCTAGGTACATTCCTTTACCAAATAATCATCGTCCGTCCTACGCATTCAATCTCCTTCAATTCAAGTCATCTATCCACTCCCTCTCCACAAGATCTCGTCCTTCCGACCTTTATACCCCTTTCCACAAATCGGCCTCATTTCAACACTCCTTTATTGTCCGATCCACCACATTTTGGAATTCCATCCCACTTAAAATCCGCCATGCACCATCCTTATCCACATTTAAATCCCTCCTTTTCCAATTCCTCCTTACAATTCAATCAGACGCTGGGTAGCCTATTATTGTATTATTATACTATTATTGTATTATTATATATATATATATATATATATATTATATATATATATATATATATATATATATATATATATATATTAATATGTATATTGTATATTGTATATTGTATATTGTACTATTATTGTATTCTTCGAACATACTATTATGACTATAACATCTTTATTATTATTATTATTATTTTTCATTAATACAATGACATGACAACAAAAGTTATTTATCGCTTATTAGCTTATTGTGTACAGCAACTATTTGGCAGTATTAGGACCTTATTGCTCATATTAAGTCTTCCTATATCTGTACAGTTATGTAAATACTTCTTTTATCCCTTATTTTTTAGTTGTTTTTTTTGTTTGTTTGTTTGTTTTTGTTTATTGTAATATACATTTTGGCCAGATGGAATGTTAATTTTATGTACAATATTGTTATTCTCAAGGGACGTAGTCCCAGAATAAAGTTGATTCTTTTATTCTATTCTATTTTATCTTCTTTTTATTCACAAAAACGATTTTTTTTTACCAGTCTTGGTCATGATCTTTCAACAGTTAGGCGCTCTTTGTCTTGAAAAATGTAAAACCAAGACCGATTTTGGGCAACACTAATGCTGATTCAATTAAGTTATAAGATACAGATGAAATGGAAAAAAAAAAAGTACCTCCCTAGTCTCTCTATTTTATAAAAACGTTTTTAGTCACTTTCATATTAGTATTAGAAAAAAGGGAGTGGGGTAGCTCAGTAGTAGGGTATTGTGCTTCCAATGATAATGGTCCCATGTTCGAACCCCGGCTCATGGCAGAAAATTTATTTATCTGTTTCATCGGCCGTGGGGCGACCCTGGGTCGGGAGACCCTCCTGGGAACCAGGCTCTATAAAGTGGGTACCCTTAATTAAATAATTAATTAAAGGGGAAAATCTGGCAGTTGAGCGTGATCTCGGTCAAATCACCTCCTTGCACAACCGTTGACCTAGAAATAGTGCTTTCCCTAAATAGTACTGTACCCACAACCCTTCATGGGCTGTAGTGGTAAACAGATAACAGCAGCTCAACTTATTAGGAGATTTTTTACTAAGTATACACTTAATTTAATTACATATGTGTTAAGTTCCTGTCCCCTCCTAGTCTCCTATTACAAAACAGAGATTTTAGACTAAAAATTTGTACGGGAAATGAAATGGTATTCTTCTGGAAGTGGTAGTTTGACTTCATCTAGGTGACAGCAGTTATTTTTCAATCTAGACATTTCCCCTTGAATACAATATTTTAATTGTTATATTATATATAATATTATTTATATTTTATTGCGTTATAATTATTATGAAATAAAAAGAGAAGCACAATATGATGTACAATCAAAATATTAGAAATAAAAGGCTCAAATTATTGTTAGACTTATATGAAGCTAGACAAGTTGAATATATATTGTGGTAATAAATTGGCAACAAGAATTATTATAATTAAATAATAATATAAATTTGCAGTAAGGCACGATGTATAATGAAGATTTTTAAAGAAATAAAATCGAACTGTGGTTTTGTTGGGTTTATTTTATGTTGATAAAAAATAATGCAATGGGAACTACAGAATTCATGTAAATTAAAATTATATAATATGAGCAACGAGTAATATAATTAATTGAACAGCTGTATAATAGGCGGGCCGAGAGTATCCTCCTAGTAAATATTACATATATTTTTTTTAATAATTCACTGTTTAATCCATTGTGGTTCCTATTCCTATTTTTGCTTCCTCACTACCGAAGGTAGGGAAGTATTGTGTTCGTGCGAGATGTTACTAAAAATGTTATGCTCAGAATCGAAAATTTTCACTCGCGTTTTACGTTACAGACATCAAGGATCAAATTTGGTCCGGCGTCTATCCGTCTTTCTGCAGTCAAATCGATGTAACGGATATATCACCAACTACCGTTTTTCCAATTTTCATAAAATGTTCAAGGATTATGTGGATCGGTGTCTAAAAGGTCAATTTCATAAAATTCCATCCACCGCTTCCGTTTACGCATGCGCAAACTTATATTTTTTAGATATGCCTATATTTCAGAAATGACTCGTTCGATTTTGCTCAAAGTTAGAAAACAAATAGATATTAATACAAAGATAACGCAGTATCAATTTCATTGAAATCTGTTCTCTACTTTCTCTTATATATGCGCAAACGAGTATTCCTTGATAGGTCTATATCTCTAAAACCGCACGTTCAATTTGGCTCAAATTTGGAGGAAAGTTAGAGATTAGTTAACAGATAATTAAGTGAATATCAATACATATATTTCTATCCACTACTTTCAAGAAAAATACTTTCGCTTTCAGTCCGCCTAGTCTGAAAACGGATCAATCAATTTGACTCAAACTTATAGGAAATTTGAAGAATATTATAGAAATTGAATAGTATGAATTTCAAAAAGTCCATTTAATAATCAAAATAAATATAAATAACAGAACAATGTCTTTGAAGTTTATAAAATTTAATAAGGCTTCAAAATGTTAATTTATACGGTATTGTTTAGTCGCTTCCAAATGTTACTAGCATGATACTGCCGTTATTTAGATTTCGTGTGATTTTCAATAAATTTAAATTAATTCTTACTCTAAACTTGTAAAAAAAAAAAAATTGTCGTATTTATTTCTACTGAAGTTCAACCTGCTCGTCGTGGTCTCGATTTCATCCTTAAACATCAAAGTTGTGAGAATGTCACTTATATTTTTATATTCCAACTTAAATTAGTTTTGTTTTGAATAAAGAAAAGTATTGGTCTCGTTAACTCCGAACAAACAAAAACTTGAATTATTCCTAAGGATTTTTTGTTCCATCCATTTTACGTGTTAAAATATACCTATTAAGTATATGTTGTTAGTGCAAAAGGTTCTATGTACAAATTTTCAATTTTATTCTAAATTTGACATTTTGTAGTCTGCAACTGATATAAGTAGTCTATTACAATGGAAAATATTAGAAGGAAATAAAATATGAAATCATACTAATAAATCATGAAGAAATAATTAGTTTTTATGCTCTCCTGCAAAACACTCTATTTTTAAGTACGACCTTTTGCACTAACAGACTGATATGTATGTTCAGTATTCCCTGGATTTTTTTTTTATTTAATCACGAATTATCAAATATTCAATCTGCAAATGGGAACTCTTTCGCACTTTAGTATTAGCTGATAAACAAAACTCGTGGATATCAAACACGTATATGTTGAGGGATTACTGAATTTCCGAAAACGGCTTCTTCCAGAGATTTTATTCTCAAACGAAAAAATTTAGATCTTGTAATAAAAAAAATTTGTAGCTAATGAAAACGGTGAGGAAGCTATATTGGCAGACTTACTTGGCAGACTTTTTTTTTTTTTAATAACCTGT